TAAAACAATGTAATATGTATACCTATAGCCAACTTGATTCACTATCCTACCAGGAAAGATGCTGAAGTAAAAAATCGAATCATTTTCATTATCCTAAAGACTAAGGGAAGATAAAAGACACCARAAAAATCAGGCGCGTAGCCAGGGGGGTGTTACAGGTGTAATAACACCAACCCTCAGCCGKGGTATACTTAATATTTTTTTATCAAGATAAAGATGCATCATAAGCACAAATTATCTTAAATCGTGATTTACACTTATTTATAAAAATTAAGTATATTAGTTTATATTACGTCATTACGATACCAATAATGTAAAGCACTAAGCCGGGATCCGGCATTAATTACTATTTTAGAATGTTCTGTGGCGTTTTATCGATTACTCGTTTCATGCATGATTTAATACCTATATCTTTTTATGCGGCGTGTAAGAAAACGTTTACAACTTCTTAATTATTGATTATTTGATTATCATGATGAAGTATCGTATACCTACGTMAAGTTATCAATTTTGTGTTTATAATTTTTTCAATTAATTTTGAATAACACCCCCCTCCCCTTAGACATTTCTAGCTACGCGCCTGAAAAAAATCATTACAAAATCACTACACTCATTGCTCAACTCAAAATCTAAAAATAAATTATACACCTAGTCGACTAGTCAGAATTATAGTTTTCATTTGGAATTTTGGTAGTTATACTTATAGATTACATAATACGTGTTATAATTAATTAACCAACCAACCATCAAATAGAATATGGATGCATGAAATATTTTCTATTATTTTGAAGATAAAAAACTTACCAATGAACATTTCGGACAGATTATAGGATCTACGTATAATTTTAGACAATTATAACAAAAATTATTATGTGATAGTAATGGCCCACAAATGTAAGGTTAGTTTATTGTAAATTAATTAGATAATTTCATTACAATTAAATATATTTCATTATTAAATTCATTATTTTTTATACGAAAAGACATTAAAAAATTAACCATGGGTAGATAATAGCGATAATGCCATAATGGTACAGACTACAGTGTCCCTTCAGAATCTGGACGCGGCGCACAACGTCAACCACAAATTATCTTTATTTTCTATGACATCAACTACTAGTCTGGGACATAGTCTGTGTTCCATTTCCATCGTCTAACGGAGGGGTGGAAAATGTACCTACCCGGGCTACCTTATTTCGATAAGGAATAGTTGACCAGGACGATATTTTCTTGTTTTATGTTTTCCATATGTAAGTAATATTTTTTGTCAATTACCAAACACAGTAAACATAACTATAAATCATTATAAATTATTAACTTATCAGTGTTTATGTCCATAGGCGTGCGCAGACTTTCATTGCAGATGCAGCATATAAAATTAAGCAGCCCATTTTTTAACAATCGGCCAAATAAATGTTGAATAGTCAAAATTATAATTATTGATCATATTATACACAGGCAGTGTTATTGTTACTTAAGTGATTATAATAATATCATTTTTTTTAACAATTAACAAATGTTCACATACAAAATTTAAGGAAACATTTGTTCACTGCTTTTGAA